CCCCAAAACCCCAAAACCCCAAAACCCCAGATGAGTGGAAGGAGATTGAAAGACCAATTACATTAACTATTAACCAAAATTATGGGGTCATCAGTAATCATTTCTCTATTAGTCTAGCCATTTCTCCCATACAACAGATCCTCAACCAGGTTTACTTTTATCATATCAAGTATCTTCACTGGTTGATGAGACTATAGAGGGTCAACAAGGTGTTTGCAGATGTTAAGGGCCAAACACGACTTATCAAAACTACAGAACTTACCCAAAGATTCCATTGGAGTAAAGAAGGATTCTGTTCTTTTTGGATAATATCTCGAACCTTTTGACTGGGACTTGTTTCCATGATCATGATCAATACTATTCAGAGCAGTTGGAATCTAAAGATATTAGACGCTGACTTACTCTCATAAAAAGCTGTTCAGAGTTCCTTTCTGATCCTTTCTCATTAACTTCGACTATGATTTAAAGTCAAGTAGATACTTTTAGTGATGTTTACAGATTGAGAGTCAATCTTTCAGTCAAATCTCTTCTTGCCAAGCAAGGTCTTCACTTTATCCATTCTAAAATTAGAAATAGAGCATACTTGGAATTTCCTAACCCTTCAGTCTCGAAATATTTTAGCAGCTTGAGAATGTTTCTTGGTGAGTTTGGGCTAAACTTGATACCAAAATTTGCCTACCTAGAATTCACTCCATGTAACAAAAATTGATCAAAAGGCAAATCCATGCCTGGATTTGCCTTTAATAAGTCATGATACTTAAGAAGCTATACGAAAAGAATTAGCAAACTAATTTTTGGTAAATTTTTTATCTTACCTTAATCTTTGCCTCCTTGGTATAATCAATCTTGAGAAAGATATTGCGAAGCTCATTACAAGTTTCTTGAGAAAGTTTTGCTTGAACTCCTTCAGTGATACACTCCTCTATTATATCTCTAAAGATCAGAGAAAGCTTTACCATGGCTTGGAATTGACAAGAACCTTCAAAATCTCAACATGAGTCTGGTATTTGTTTTCACTATACAAATTTGCCATTTTGAACTTTAAATAAATAATATCCAAGTTTTGCCCAGAAAAGATCAGAACATTTCAAAAATAGTACCTTATCGACGTCGATTCATTTTCCATGACGAAACAATTTTCAATAAAAGGGTGTCTGAGAGCCTCGCTGGCAGTCAGCCTCTGTCTCGTATTACTAGTCATAAGGTCACCAATAAAGCTCTCACAATCTTTTGAAATGAGAATGTCATATTTTGAAATTTTATACCTCTTAGTGCTCTTGACCTGCTTCATTAGCTCATCCAAAGAACTTGTCTCAAAAGGGAGCTCTCCTGTAATAAGACAGTAAGTGATAGCTCCGGTGCTCCAAAGGTCGCATTCATTACTATAAATCCCATTAGCCATCTCTGGCGCCATAAAATATGGCGATCCGACCTGACCTACCAGAGGGTCAAATCGATATTTCCTGGAGAATTCAAAGTTCATAATCTTGACTTTCATCGTTAAGGGATCTATCAAGATGTTGTCAAGTTTTAAATCTCGATAGCAGATGTCTAATGAATGAAGGTACTTTATAGCCTCGAGTATTTGAGTGATAATAATAGCTGTCTTATCCTCCTTGATCTTCCTCTTCTTCCCCAGGTATTCGGTAAGGTCTACTCCAGGGAAATACTCCATGATGAGGTAAACCTTACTGATTTCGAGAATATTTCCATTTTTATCAATATGAGAATCGTAAAAGATATCAACTAACTTGGTGATATTCGGATGGTCACAAATTTTAATAGTGCTTATTTCGTTGCAGATATTATCAAATTGGTTCATGATATCAGTAATCTTGATCGTTTTGATGACTACATTTGTAGATTTATCAAAGTTGAAAGTGGCTTTTCTGATATCTTGATTACTACCGACTTCAATAGCCTCTCCAAATTTATAATAACGGTTTATTCTCCAAGTTTGACACTTAGAAATCTTCTTTAAAGAATTTTTCTCACAAAAAGCTGCCAAATCATTCATCTTTTCACTTAAAACACAGCTATCTTTAGTCTCTATACATAAATTACAGATTTAAACGCTCAAAATTAGTCCAAAAGCCCCTCAGCGGCCTCTAAAACCTCATACCTTCCTCTTCCTTTTCAACTTTAAGTCTAGCTTTGTTGCCAATCATCATGCTTCCTCTTAAAAACGATTCTTTCTCTAATAAATTCAGGGATGCCAGTCTTACCATTCCGTTTGTTTCTTCTCTTGCCTAAACCCTGGCTGCTATAAAGAGAGTTAGCTTATCCAATAAGCAAGAGTTTGGGACATCAGAAATTGAGGATTCTTTTTAAAAATAAGAGTCGATATAACTGAAGTTAGATTACCACCTAATTCATAAAGACATCCTTAACTATTAGGAGAGGATTCCTTGTAATATAGTGATACGTTTGAATGCCGCTGAGCTGATATGAGCTCTCTAGTTGTGCAGGGAGTTTTAAGAACTAGATTTTGACATATTTCAAACAGATTCTGAGGTTAGATTTGTGGAATAACTTACGTTGTGTCACAACAACATTGTACATTACCCATTACAATAATATATAATAATTTTCCTCACTTGGGGTTTTGGGGTTTTGGGGTTTTGGGGTTTTGGGG